CGCGCCCACCCCCCGGCAGCCCCGAGCCCCAGGCAGAGGACTGGTATGCCCAGGCTAGGCGGGTGTAGACGACTCCCAGCACCACGCCAGGCACCAGGACGCTGGTGGTGAAGAGAACTGTCAGGTAGAGCCGGAAGGCTGACGGCGTCCAGGTGGGGATGCAGATGCGCTTGCGGGGACCATCCCCCTCCCGCAGCTGGGTCATTGCCATCATGGGGGCCGTAAGCAGGAGTGAGAGGAGCCAGAGGATGGCACTGGCCAGCTTGCGGTAAGCATTGCCAGCTCGCCTGGCCTGCAGCGGCCTGGCCACCGCCCAGTACCTCTCCAGGCTCATGGCGGTCAGAAGGAAGATGCTGGCATGCATGGTGAGGAGGTCCAGGCTGAGCAAAAGCCTGCAGCCCATGTCCCCAAAGAACCAGTCGTGGGCAAAGTAGGTGCAGACCACAAAGGGGATGGTCGAGAGGTACAGGAGGTCAGCCAGGGCAAGGTTGATCACGTAGACCCCCAAGGAGCCTGCTGAGCGGCCTGCCACCCTGCCAGAGGCCACCACCACTGTGTAGATGTTCCCCACCATCCCAGTGAGGCACATGACCAGCAGCACTGCACCCAGCGGCCCCGTGACTGGGCTGTCCCCTCCCAGGACACTACTGCTGTCACCCCCACCGCTGCTTTCCTCCGAGAAGATGCCACCCTCAGGATCTTCTCCAGACCTTGCGCTGACAGGGGAAGGATAACACGACATCTTTGAGAAGGGTGAGCAAGAGCAAGTCTGACCGTCAGCAACCTGTTCCTTCCCTCTGCCTTCCCCCCTCACTGTATGGGACACATCTAGCCTTAATACAAGAGGGAAGAATGGTGAGAGTTTAGCAGACGTAGGGTACTCCAGAGAAGTCTATTCCTCACCTCCAGCTGCCCAGTCCATCTTGCTGATCTTGTCCATCACAAGCTCCATCCAGAGGTTTTTTCTTTCCCCACCAAAGGGCCGAGAAGGAGATGTCCCCTCTCCTTCAAGACTGATAGTTGCAAAATAATTTCTGCCAGCCAGGAGGAAATGTCTCTGCTCTTCACCAGCTCCTTGTGTGTTGCTTCTCCAGCATTTGCTGGGCCCACAGAAACCAGCAGACTCAGTGGACAAGTGGACTTCTTCCCCCAGGTCTGTCTCCGCTCAGATCAGATAAACCTTGGAGGGGTGGGCTCTGCCCTCCGGAGCCAGCCCCTGGAGAGCTGCCTTGCCCACTGCATGTAGGAATGTGTCTGACTCACAGCTTCACACACCAGTGTGAACACAGTCCCAGTTTATACTCAGTTCTTAGCCACCAGCTGAGGAGCCATGCTGGCTCCCTCCTCTTTCTTGCAGACATGCTCCTTCTTCCCTGGTGCCTTCCTCCAGCTCCCTCTTCCTTCTTGTTCTTTTTTCCCCTTCTTTTTTCTCATTGCCCCTTGCACAGTTTTCCTCATTTGAAAGAAGATACAGCTGAAAGCCAAAACTCCTTAACGCAGCAGGGGAGAAAGCATCGCGCTGTGGCTTTAGAAGGGAAATAAGGGCCAGCCCTGAAAGCTGCCACACTGCTCTCCTTGGCCCTTAGCCAAGCCGGGCTAAGAGGGCCTCCCCCCCACTCCCTTCCAAGGACATCAGGGCCCCTTGAGGTGTAGACAATGGATGTAGCCCCCAGTTTGCAAGCAGGCCCACCAGACAGTAGGACATCTCACATTTTCTATGACCTGGCCCTGCTCCACCCTTGTTCCCCAGTCAGCAGCAAGCTCCCAGAGACTCCGGGATATTTCAGACCCATTCTTTCCTCACTCTCCCCAAAGACCATCCTCCTTCTCTAAGCCTTCCCCCTCCTTCCCTCGTCCCCTCAGGACCTGCTGCTGCACCCCAGAGCAGGGAGCAGAAGCCTGTTAGGCAGGCACCATTGCCTTCTAGCGGGACATTGCTGCATGACATCTATGCCCTTCTGCGCTACCCTGCTCAGTCTTCACCCATGTCCAAGCCTCATTCGTCTCAGGGAACAGACACAGAGGGACAGAATGTGCAGAGCAGAGATGATATGCCATTACTAAACGCGCTCTGCTATCAGTTTATGGGGGTTTTCAGGCCGCTCCAGCTACACTCCTTTGCATCGTCGGTGTATTAGCTTTGTTGTGGCTGAGTTAAATGCCTCCACTCATCTCCAGCAGCAATAACGCAGCAGCAAACAGCCCAAGGAAGCATCCTACCAGTACCGCCCTCGCTGCAGTGGGACCCAAGCACCTTCCCACCCAATGTGCTGCGTGCAACTGCAACAGCTTCAGCATGGCCGTGCCACAGGAGTGGGCATGTCACACATAGCACGGATGGAGGCAACTTCAGAGGCCTCCCTCTGGCTTATCTGTGTCAACACTTAGCATGCCTGGGTCACTCTCCCTACTCTTCTTCCCAGAGAAGAACTGAATTTGCAGGTCATTTAGATGGAGCTTGAGCTTTCTTTTTAATGGACTGACCCATTTTCATGTTACCAGAACCAGAAGGCACTTCATTTTGGAACACAAGCTTTGCAATGGCTTTCGGTTTTTAGAACAGTCATGCTCCAAACTGGGTGAGATCAGCAAACTGCAGTGAAAATAGACTTTTGGGTGGAAGGCTCCATTGTGTCACAGCAGCAGGATGAGTGGTGCTGTTTCTCATCCAGGAAGTCAATACTGCCAACAGGCTGTGGTGGTCTCAGCACACAGAGGGCCCCCTTAGACCATGGCTTTGCCCATTTGGCTCTGATGGGAAGATTTACAGTCCATGTGCCCCGGGAAATGCAATCAAGAGCCATGGCTCCTTGCTCGGATTGTCTGTGCCTTTTTTTTTTGAGAAATGACCTCATGCCTTAGCAGTTAGCAGCTCAGCTCATTTATGAAGTTAAAATAAATTACAATCAGATTTTTAAATTAATTTCTTTAGGAGCTAATTAAAATACTGGTTGCCTCATTAATTCCAGTTAGCTCCCCTCTGCTTAAAATTGCAGACACATCCAGTTCTACAATCATCAGCAGAACTCAGCTGGTCCTTCGAGCATGTGAAACACAGCTCTCCCAAGAGAGCTTTAAGAGATGATCTTTAAGATATGAATCATGGGTTGATTTAGTGGTTAGGGCTAACTGTTACTAGAAGGACATGAACATACAGACTTCCTACTACTACATAAAATTATATGTGTATGTAATATACATTATATACATATGTAATGTATAGGGCAGAATGAAAGTGCCAGGCCTTTGACGAACAGAGAATGAAGGAGCAGAGATCCACATATTACTAACTTCAGACATCAACCCCTAGGCTCTGGTAAAGTTGACAGAGAGTCCAAAATCTGTATCAGACACGCCATAGGCTGCTCTCTGCGAGACCAAACATCTCTCCATTGGTTTGACTAGAGGTTCAGACTTGACAGCTGAACTTCAGTGGCATGAACATCCCTCACAGTATCTTCCCTAGGGCAGTATTCCACCTCCCACCACTTTTTGTTACGTGCGCACACACACATACATTATCCACATACACACAAGTATACACACACATACCGGTTTTGAGCAGATCTCTCAACCTTCTCTGCAGCAATTAGAGGAAGGTCTCCATGCAAATGTTGTCTAAAGAAGCTTTCAAGCCCATACACAGCAGGAGAAAACAGGCCTCACATTTGTCTGTTAGATTACATCTTTTAAGTGACCTTTCTCAACTACAGCTCTAACTGATCAAATATCTAGATGTTTCACATCTCTGTCACCAGCAGAGAAGCCATTTCTTGTAAAGGAACAGTCTCTCCTAGTCCAGCAGTCCCTGAAACCCACTGAAGTGTAGCTCCAGCCAGGCATCTGTTTTCTTGCGTAAGTCAGGTGGCTGGCTGCAGTTTCATGCAGGAGTGATGCTAGGTCCCACGTCCGACACAGCAAGTGCCAAGTTTTCAAGGTCCAACTGACAGGCAAGGCCTCCCAACATCCAGTCAGATCACAGCAATTTAACAGTGACAGGCTGCACTGAAGATTCAGACTCACAAAGTCTTGTACTTGAAAGGAAGCAGCTTCACTTGGTCCCCTGAACAAAGTGGATTGTCTACAGGGAAAAAAAGTGCTTCAAAGGGTGCTTCAAGAGCACTGTGTTTCTCTGATGTCGATCTCCTCTCCTCTCCTGGCAGCCCACCCAACAGGACCAGGTAGAGTCGAGTCATAGCAAGGTTCCTGCATGGCCTTCTAGGATTTAAACTTGAAGTAGGCTTCAACTGTAGTGAAGGACAAAAGTGGTGCGTTAGGGCAGTACCCTGAACCGGAGTGGCAGGAGGGGAAGGAAACAGCATGCAGGGACTTACTTGCATATTCCTGGGGTGTCATGGCCTGGTTGATGACGCTAGTGAAGGCTGTGATCCAGTCCAGCTGGTCAGTCTCCGTCTCACAGGTGAAGAGGTATTCCCGGTCAGGGGTGACAATGGTGAGGCCATAGTGCCAAGAGAAGTTGCCCTGTGTCCCCGAAGGCAATCCCTTCTGGACGCTATATCCATTCTCTCTGCTGCCCACAAATACCTCCCCCTTAGCAAATGCATCCTGCACATCAGGAGGGAGAAAGAGAGATTTACAGAATCAGAGAAGAACGAGGGAATAATAGCAGTGCACCTAAGGACAGGAGGAGAGCGGGTGAGGACCAGCGACATAGCAGCAAAAAGATTTGAAGGTGGTCAGGGGACTCAGAAGAGCAGGGAAGCTATGCTCAAAGGCAGCAGCAGAAAGGAAAATTTAAGAGCATAGATCATGAGAAGTCTGAGAGAGGACCTGCTGCTCCTCTCTCTCCATGTCACCCCCCCCATGTCACTCTCCTCCCCATCATCACCTTTACACCGCTGCCCTCCCTGTTGCCATTGTCTGCAGGCAGTGAAACAAACACAAAAAGCATGGGATGAAATAAGTGGGACGGAAAGAGGAAGACCTAGAATTCGTTTGGAGCAGCTAGGGAACCTGCCAGCTTCCCTTGCTGCAGAGCAAAGACGCTGGTTACACTTTGCCCTTGCCCTCAGCACTGTTGCCTGCAGCTGCCAGAGGTCAGATCTCCCCCTCACCAAAGGGTCCTTGAAGTACATGAGCCTGCGGTGATCCAGCGTGAACCAGCGCTTCTTAAAAGCCTCTCTCTGCTGTAAAGGGAAGAGGTGACATATGTAAGGGGACAGTGCCCTCTGCCGCGAGCACTGCAAATGGATGCCCAAAATTCATCCCAACCATCTGAACCAAGCCCCTGCCTTAACAGCGACCTCCTCCTCACCCTTTCTGTGCTGAGAGTGGGGACCAGTATCGGGTTTTTCAGTCCCAACTGCTACCCCCAACTCTTGGACTTCTGTGAAGGACCCCAGAGTTGAGACAGGAGAAATCTAGACGCTAAATACCTGTAAGGTCACGCACACACAGACACATGCAGAGAGATCTGTTGTTCTGGGAGAAAGCAGGGACTCTGGCTTCATCTACTTTCATATGTGTCCTTCCCCTTCCTTTTATTCTCCCCTCCCTTGGTGCACACACACTGTTCCCACGGGTGTCTAAAGAGTCAGGGGGGAATGGGGAAACAGCAGGAGAAAAACATTGAAGTAGGGAAGGTCAGTGGCTCTCTGGGAGGTCCCTGTTAAGATTTTTTTCTCCCACAGGAGCTCACCTTGGGACCAGTCTTCTCCATGTAGCCCTCCTTCAGGAAGTTTCTTGTCAGCCGATTTTTAATCTGATGGAAAGGCAGGAGTA